ACTGGTTCTACCAAGTTTGTGTTGACTAAAATCTGTAGTCTAGGTGAAAGGGTATATTTATACAAATGAAATGTACGGTGATATATGACGGATCATTATCACTCAATATAAATAATGGTCACTTAAGAGATTTCTTACTTACAACTAAAAACAGAATCCACTAGGAGAGCAAAAGTGTTTCTGCCCATCTGGCATCAATTATAGCGTAAGAATACGTATAGTGCTGTGTTTTCTTGATATAACAGTTGCCAGCAACCCTATAAAATGAAGGATCACCTGAAATTTACACAACGCATTTATATTGTACAGTAAATGTCATGACTGAGTGAAGCAAGAGCGGGAGATGACGGAGGCTCAGTATAGTTTTCATGCCGTAAATAGCAACCAAATTGGGATAATTGGTGTGATAGGCAGTATGTATACAAATATTCTTACATAGATAATGTCATGACAAAGCAGTAATGTATTTCGTTAAGGTTATAGAAATTAACAAATTTTTCGATCACTTTTTTTCTGTCACTTTGGATATAAAGTGTGTATATTGACTGTTATAACATTCATTTAATTAATACGATTCCCATCATCTTTTGATCCAACCACGACTTTCGTACTGACAGCAAATTATAGAATTGCGATATAATCAAAAATAGTTCCAATACTTCGATTTCGTTGACAGATAGCTTGAAGACATTTCTCTACTAATCGTTCGTATTACACGGTAAATGAAAAAAACAGCAGAGGGAAAATCAGTATGACGAGGAATACAGTATTTGAAATCATTATAAGATTTTTTTAGCATTAACTAGCTAACTTAACTCCAATTTGACACTAATAGATCACTCATGTGACATGTGATAAAAAATATCGTAAATAAGTCATCATAACAAATCATGAGAACTGGCTGAAAACTCGTAAGTGTGTACTATTATTGCAACTAAAAAGTCATAAAATAAAGGAACTATCAAAAAGATTGTAGTGATTGGTCGTAGTTAAAGCGATGAAATCGAATACACTTTATGGCATAAGGGTGACTAGAAACCCTCAGTTGTTGACAGAGTCAAAGATTATTCCTTGTGGATCGTCGAAAAATATGACTCGGTGTTGTTTGCACAAGAGACATAACCATTAAATACTTCAGAGTCGGACTTATATCTGCCTTCACATAGAATCACAAAATGTATTGTCAGTTAAAGTATTTGTAGTGGAATTGGGCCCTAAAGCGAGACAATACGGAAAATAGACTTTCGACATTTAACGCTGGGAAATACCTAACAATGGAGAAGGCGGAAATAATGAATTGAATGACTTGGAGTTGATCGGATTGCATAGCTCAGCCAAGCAGGCGTGGTCCCTGCTCACTATCACCTTTTATATTTTATTCATATGAAATATATTGTTGCATCTCTAGCCTGAAATTCTTCTCCTTCATCTGTTGGTAATTGTTAAGATGCAGTGAGTTGGTGTAGAAGATGATGTGACTTTCAGGATTAGGTCTATTATTAGAACAGTGTTAATATCATAGTAAACAATAATTCTACATATTCACAACCCGCTGGTAACATAGAAAATTCATGAGCCTCTTTACTCTCCTACTTAAAGCCCAGCTCCGATCTTTCGATATCTATACACTGATTCTAAGCCTGGAATTCAACAATAGGGAAAAGACCCTAAGTATATGTAGAATCTTCACATCATGGTCAATCTATGTATAGAAAAGAAAGCTTAACCAGAAGCTTTAAGATGGCTTCAATCTCTAGAAATCTACATATTAAAGAAATGAGTAATTGACCGAGCAAATGAAATAACTAATCTTTTATTTTTGAATGTTTTTGAGGAGTCTCTGTTCATTGTCAGTTGAACAGAAAGTTTTTAGTTGATTGCTGAATATAAATTTTGTCAAAAGATATTTATTTTCTCCCGAAGAAGCCGATGTATCGATTCTGAATTATTTACGTCCGGATGCCTCCTTTGAAACATGTCGCCATTACCAGGTAATTGACTTTTTGTGGACAAGACCCTGTTGATACAATACTGCGACTCATTCAACAACAATACCTCAATTTTAAGCCCTAATTACTATGCTTTAGCTTCAAATTCTTAAGCGTTGATTTGTCTGTCGTGGTAGTATTTCAAAGATTAAGTATTTTAATAATAAAGGATGTATCTGACAGCAAGATGTCAGCACTGATTTGTAACCTAATTTTTTGTGTTACTCGACTGACCCTCGGAAGTCATCTTTTTTCTTTACAAACGTTTCAAGCCTGAAATGCTCTAACTGAATTTCCCTACACTTTTACCAACTGCAAAATATGATAAACGCTCTCAGTGGCCGGAAATATGAACTTGACACATTCTTTAAACACGTCTGGATTATAATAACTTGATTTTAGAATATTAAAGATTCCCATTGTGATGATTAGAACAACAAAAGCGGTTGCCAAAATCCAGAAGGCATCCTATCTGATTGCTGAATTGCAGTATGCGCCACATAGGGCCAGGTTATATGGCGAAACTTTTTCTCCGTATAGTAAGACTGAACGAACTGAATTAGCAAGTATATAATGGTCTGAGTTATCTAGAGACATTATTGGGAGCGTTCTTACCAGAAAATAATCAAAGTATATTGATTCTTTGGGACTCAAATCCATATGCTATGCTGAAAATGTATGTCAAACTAACATTGTAAAAGCAAAATTTAAGTTCATTTTTGAGTTGCTTGACAAGAGCCTTTATGAAGGTTAGGGTAGATTTACAAGGCTCCTATTACAGTATAGAAACTTATGAGCTGGTCTAATCCAAACACAGCACGTACCTGTGGGCACATTCTAATTCAGTGACAAATGGTAAGTGGAAGTTGATGGATGAACATCATTTGTTAAAATTTGGCTCAAACATCTGAGGTATCAGTGTCCATACATATACTGGTATGTTTGTATAGATTTTATCCCATTCTGACAGTTGAACGTCCTAATCATCTGCAGTCAGTAGGTTGGGCTGATAAGTAAAAAGCGTTAGACAACCATCCAATTCAGTATCATCGCCCAATGTTACGAGGCCAACTAACGAATTCTCAACCGATTCTGTGTTTGAGTTTCTCTTTAGCCTCCAATCAGACCTTATATTACAGTCATGATTCCAACCATGCTAAGATATCATCTAACTGGACGTATCACAGAACCATATTGCTTCATCAGTTTGAATACCCCTTGGGAAGCCGGGTGAGATTAAACGATATGAATATTCAAATCTTGATTTCCCGATAGACCGTATAATATTTTTTCCCATACCGGTATATGAAAACTAACCAGGAGTCTTTCCATTCAGTCCTCTTTGTTTAATTTTCGGTAGAATTGTTTCCGAAATTTTGAGAACCCAGAGATCGGTTTACTGAGTATTTTGATAAATAGCTGGAAAATTCTAGGTTACATTCACTCAGAGATGAGCGATTAGTATCGTATTTTCGGTCTTGGAATACAGCCACCGCATGACTTGGATCTTAATGTAAATAGATCAGGAATCAAGAAACTACTAGCAATTATTGGTGCATCTTTAATCTTAGAGATATTATTGAGTTGTTATGTAGTTAGTAAGAAATATTTAGTTTTCAAATCACGATATGCCTAAGACATTCTATTATTTCTCAAAGCCTTCCATTAGTGTTGACGACGGATAAAACTAAATGGTTTAAATAGTCCAAATGGTTCTGAACGGGATAGAAGAAGCCTTGGCTTAATGGGTTTCTGTTTCTAGTAGCAATGGATCCCCGATGCCACCAGGTAGGAACCTGGATATTTTTAACGAGAAAAGATAAAAAAATATTGGTAAATTGTAGCGAGATACTTTCATTAGTACTTAATAATATGTTAAACAGTCACTTGACCTAGCTCAGTCAACATTGAATTCCAGAATTCGACTACCCGTATAGAGTGTATAGATCGCTAGTTTACATGGTCTACTCGAGTTAGACGGCAATGGTGTGACCGACAGCTAATGTCGAAGTCACACCGCGGTCAGCACCTAACGTGGATTACCCTTACGGAGCATCCAGGTACTATGGCTGCCTTAAAGACTGTATAACACAGAGGACGTTACCACAGAAATATATCAACTGGAGTAGGTACAAGAGAAAGTGGGGCCACCACGACATAGGACAGTTCATGGCGTGAGATTAATTGGTGCACGATAATCGCTCTTGAACTTGATGAGGACTGGTGAACTGTTCGACGTTCAGTGACCCGACTACCGGGTGATTTGGCTAGGGCACATTGACACGTTACTGGCCCTACAAGTAGGTGTGCCTAGAGTCCGTTCTGTTATGTCTTGTCGTCGACTTCAAAGTGCTACCCTTAGGGTTTGTGTTGGTCCTGAGGTTAAGTGGGTATTTAAGGGGATGCTCATGAGCATTTAGTATGCTGTAAGTTGCTAGAAAGTCACTTCTGAGACACATATAGTCTAATGAGTAAAAGTTTAGTGATTCGAGGCGCTCTTCGTAAGGTTTGATAATGAGACCTCGAACTGATCAGTTGGCTCGTCTTCGGATACGTTCCAATGAATTATTACCCCTTTGGAGGGAGGTAAAAAACACGGTGTTTTCGTACTCTGAATGTGGTTGAGTAGAACTGCTGAAGACCAAGTGGAAAGTTCTACCATCTAACTGGCCAAAAATGAGTTTCAACATTGTCATTGCAAAGTTTGCTCGAAAGGCATTTTTGTAGCAGTAACCGCAAGACTTCATATCATAGAGAACTACGACGTTCGGAAGATGCCAAAGACCTGGAACCTTAATTAGGTGTCAGGATGAGAGCGAAAAGTAATCAAATGATTTGTACTAGGTAGTCATGGAAATAATGTTTCTTGGACCCAATTGATGGAATTATTCATAGTGAATTTCAAATTTATCTGTTGTCATTTTAAAGTTTTAATTAATTTTTACAATCTTTTAATTTTCAGGACCACTATGTACAACTTAATACGCGTGAACGCTGATTATTTTAAGCTAAATGAAGGTTTCCTGTAGGTTGGTGAGCCAAAGCGCCATGTTTGTCGTTGATCGTCCCAAGGTTCTTGAGTTGTTCGTTTACACCAGAGATAAGTGCGAAGAAGTGGGAGACGTAAGATTATCTAGTCGCTTTTATGTACCCATTTATTCCTCTCTGACGTTATATTTCCCGTATCATAATCAGTGCAATGTAGGTGTCAAGTTGTTTTCACATTAGTTGGCATATGTATTTCCTCGTTATTGATAATTATCCTATGTGTAATAAGACTTAGTCGTAGAGACATAGACCACCATGTATATGATCTATGTCATTCAATGACATTATGTGGGAAGCTAACGAAACCCAATCTCCGGGTTTTGAGGAAAATTTATATAATTTCGGAAAAGTTTTGAGTTTTCTCCTGAAGTCATATAAGGATTCGTAGATTTTCACAAAGTCTGTGAAAATTCTGAGAAATATTCGGGGAAACCTCAAGATTTTTTCATGTTTCGGGGACTTCCTTATAACAATTTTGAATTTTGAGGTTTTTGTCGCATTCCCGTACAGTTTTTCCATTGCAGACCCCCAAAAAGTTCTTCGAAACTGGTAAACCATACTAAAATACTATCCTTAGTCCTTAAGACTATGTCACGTTTTCTCTCAAAGGACTCCTGGGAAGTCGCTTGGGCTAGCTCAGCCGGCAGCGAATTCCAGCAACTCTTAAGGGGTAGAAGTTGTGTCTACAGTCTGTTTTGCTGAGTTGTGTCTCCAGTTCCTGTGTGTTACCCCTTAGATTTGTGTTGGAGCTAAACTTAAATGTTTAAGAGGATGTCCAGGATTATATAAGAGGCTGTAAGCCATTAGGTAACCTCTAACTCCTGTACTTTGATGGGTAAAGGTTTAGTGATTAAAGGCGCTCTTCACAAGGCTTGAATTTGAACTTCCGACCTAATTTTGTGGCTCTCCGCTAGATGCATTTCAAAGGAAGGAAATATAGGCTAAGTTTGGGGAAAGTTCTTCAAAAAGGTTATGAATATAGAACGAGATGCGCCTAGTTGTTACTTTTTTCCCGCAGCCGGGGGTAAATAGTGCGAATCGTTTCCAGAATTTCTCCACTAATAGGAAAATTGTCATTATTAACACTTGTCTTTCCCTAAATATCTACTTTCCCTATATATATATATATATATATATATATATATATATATTTGGTGCCCCCCTGTACCAATATTTATGTGTTCAAATAAATAAATAAATAATTCCCGAAAAAATTCATACTGATTTGTCTAATTTTCCCCTAAATTGACACTGAATTGTCCAAGCCCCTCCCCCAAGTTGAAGCAAAACTGTATATTGTTTAGAAAAATTAACACGCAACCGTAAAGTAGAACAAAACGAGATTCTGCCCAGTATACTCGTCCCTTAATTGATAGACGGATATCTCGCCTTCGCCATAGGTGACATAAGCTGGCAAAAGCCAAACGAGCTTTTCGAATCCGTGCTGAGATTTCGTCAGACACCAACCCATTAGGGCTGATCAGACTTCCAAGATAAGTGAAGTTGTCAACGTGTTCGACTATTTCACTCCTTATCCTTAATTTAGGTGTTGACGCAGACCAGTCCTGAAGCAACAACTTGCATTTAGAGGGAGAGAAGCGCATTCCAAGCATTCTGGCATTGTTGCTCAGTGCTGCCAAAACACTCCGAATTTTATCAGCGTCTCCACCAAACAGGACTATGTCATCTGAGTATTCTAAATCGATAAGTGGACCTCTTGGACGGAGATCAATACCCTAGAATTCAGCCGATGGGATAGATGTCACTGCTGTTTCCACAGCTGTTTGTATATCTTTCCAAGCAACATCTGGGTCAGCCTCGTTTTCAGAACTACTTAGTGTGACCTCAATTGTTCCTGGAACCTACTTTTGGTTACCTCGTTACTCAATTCAGTTCTAATGGGTCTTTTTAGTGTGTCTATTTTGCGTCCAGTGAGGCGCAAGCAGATGCGTGCCCGTACTAGAGCATGGTCGGAGTCCAATCAGGTACTCCAGAATGAGTGACAATCTTGTATCGACCATCTCCAACGATGACTGATGGCAATATGGTCTATTTGAGTCCATCGTTGGTTTGGTGCAGGGGGTCGCCATGTTAGACGATGTCTCTCCTTATGTGTGAAATTAGTACTTGCTAAAAATAAAAGATTGTCAGAGTAAGACTGCAGTAGACAGTCGCTGAGCCAGAACAGTAAAGCACCCACCTAAATGTCTTTCCGTTTGGTTTAAGCTATCTATCTGGGCATTAAAGTCACCTGCTATGAGTACTATGTCTGAGTGTTTAGCTTTTAGAAGTTCAAAAATATTTCTGCAAAATTCATCTTTCACTTCATCTGGGCTTCAGTCAATGGGAGCGTAGGCAGAAACGACAGAAAGGCAACGACGTGTGTCCCTATCTCTCCGAGTTCTTACGGAGCCTATTAGCCAAACAGTATATTGGCGACTGTTAACAGGGATCCATTCTAAAAGTGCTTGTTCTGCCTTCACACTTAGTGCTATGCCTACACCTGCCAGTCCACGAGAATTTGCCGTCGGGTCGCCAGATGAACGGAGAGTATCTCGTCGGCTCTCCGTTTTGGCAAGGTGAGATCAAGTGACTGACCACACTAAGGTCCTGTAGTCAGTCAGTCAGTCAGCTGCAACGTAGGACCAGGCACGTATATGCATCGGTCCAAGTTGCCATACCGCATTAGCACAACAAGATGAACACCGGATTCTAAGAAGTAGTTAATTCAGTGGTGGTTATATATAGAAGAAAGATTGTGTATAAGGAGATAGTACAGGAAGATAGAATTAGTTCGTAGAAAGAAAGATTTGAAGTGATTTTAATCTCTTAGTTTAAAGGAAGACAGAGAGTGTATACACCTGCGCCATTGTGATCGATTCTGAGCCATGTCACCAAGAGTCTCCAACCATTGGTTACGATAGTCACGCGGACCCCAACCAGGTAATCTGCATCTACCAACATGGCTCAGACCAGAAGTTAGTGACTTCAAGCACTGATGCCACGTTTTGGCTTGGCCGTTCTAAGGTCCTGTATGTGTGTTTCGGAGGCAGCACGCATGGATTCTAGGATTTTAGCTAAAGTGGCCTGCTGACCGATTTGACATAGGGTGAGTACGTTGAAGGCTCCAATGTGTAGTTTGGAGCGAGGTTTCAGTAGACCTGGGACAGTGTTTTGCGCACTAGAATCGTTGACTGTGGTGACACTTGAGGAGAAAGCTGAAAGAGGATGTTTAGAGTTGAAAGTCCATGTAGGAGGAATAATAGGAATTGAAGAGGGAGGTTGATTATGAACACAGTGGTCTTGAGTGCTGTTTGAGGTATGAGGGCGGTTATCACTTCCCGGTTGCCCACACAGTGGAAGGGTTCTGCTGGAGGTACCTGAAAAGGAAATTGGACTAGTGGTGGTCTTGACCTGAGTGTGACCCCAGTGCCCAAGGGACAACTGCTTGAGGTCGGTCACACACGACCTTTTTATGAGTAGTTTTTGTGTTAGCTCCGTACTTGTTGAGACCTTACCGCCAGAGACGGATATCCATAGGGTAAGGCGAGGTGTGCATTTTTAGGGTCGACCTTTTCTAGCCCCACCCCTCTTTGTGGGAAGGCAACATCGCTGTCATGCTGGTTGTCTGAAGGAAACACCTTACTGGTGTCACACCTCTGTACAGTCAGCAGTACGACTTAGCCCTCGAACCTTGGTTTTGTTGCTTTTAGTCTTACCGCTCTTCAACCGACCTGTCTGGCATGGTAGGACCTTGAGGAACGGTTGTTCCAGCCAATATAGTTCAGTTGCTTCACCACGATAGGCAAGTCCGACCACCACGTCAAGGTAGCAACAACGGTCGCGGGAGTGACCACTGTAGCACCCTTGTCAATAGGGAGAAGCATTTCCGTCACTTGAGTTCTGAAATGGGACAACACTCCACAATTATGGATGTCTTTTTGTCAAATGCTATGAAATACTGCAAGACATACAGAATATTATCAAGATTGGATGTCTGCATCTAAAAGACAGAAAGTATAAGTTAACGGTGACAACAGTTACTCACATTGTCTTTTCTCCGTAAATAGCACTTGTTCAATTTATCGTATATCGTTCAACTATCCTTGGGTAGCAGTATCGTATACTTTTTTGAGATCCTTCTTACTGACTCTAGATAAAAAATAGATATTAAATCACCTATTGGTGGATATGGAAGACCCACCTAGAGGAGTTAGGAAACCCTGGTTTCAAATCAATAGTGCACACGGGCTCCAGGATCCTTAAGGAACAAATGGCGTATGAACCAACTGTTGGTCACCGGTTACCATGAGACTGCATCTCCTTACGTCGCTCCACTACCTTGTGGGTTAGACCTTTAGGTCGAAGCCTGCGGGTGTGGCCTCCTAAAAAAACCATCCGCCTCGGTTTGGGCACCCGGGCAGTATCACAGCCCACACACAAGGCAAGTGGCGCATATGTATTCGGTGCCCCTTTGTACCAATATTTATGTGTTCAAATGGATGATAAAAACGGATTTTAGTTATCTACAAACCTTTTTACACACAGCTGAACAAAACATAATAAGAGCATAATTTGCAATATATGTAGTGCTGTTCATTAAGTAATTAATACACAATGAGAAACTGAAACTAAAATGTAGTCTTACTTCCTATACTGTAATCGAATCAAAACATTGGGAGATTTCGTTTTATGTTTGAACATAATATCGTGAAGTTTATGGCTAGATCGCGTTTCATCAGGTACGATAAAACGAGTTTGATAGATGTTTTTGGTTGATCATCCAGGTTTCTTCATACATCTGTAAAAACCTGGGTACAGCAATGTCAATGTACTTTAAACTTTCATTGATGCGTAGCTATTGGTCGAAGTGTAGCGAATTTACTGCGAGTTTACAGTCTAATATAGTTGAATGCATTCCTGCATTTACATTAATTTGATGGAATTATCTTTTATTTATTTAAACGAATATTGATGCAAGGAGGCACCATATATATGCGCCACACAAAGCATGTGATATGTGTGAGGATTGGAATACTATCTGGACGCACAAACTGAAGCAGGTGGTTTTCTTA